TGAAATATTCAAGATTATAATCTATCACTGCGCCAAATTACAACCAGATTCATTCAACAGTTTTCTCATGATTGAGCAACAAGTATACACATAAACGTACACATTTAGAACAGTAAAAAGATTTTTGTTCTACACCCACGTATCCCTGCCCACTGTGCAATGTTAATCATTTCGTCATTAGATTAATATTTTTTTATGTACACACAGTTTATTGACTTCTTCACGATGACTACCATTAGTTGGATGAACTTTTTCTATTAACACTGATGATTATTTTATTTTTTGAATTGCGTGCAAAGTAAACACTTTGTTAACTGCTTTTATAATTAAAAAGATGAATTCAAATGATGGTGTAGATTTCGTTTTATATAATCATAGTTTTAAGTAACTAGACACACAGTGGGAATGGTTTCTGGTGATATACAGTAGCCGTATGGTTATCCTAGGACTTGGAAATGCACTAGAGTTTTTTTGCACGTTTTGAAAGAAAGAAAACGGATTTTTATTTCTGAAATACACGTCAGCTTCCGAATTTTCGTAGCTATAAAACACTTTTTGAAGCAATTTATACAATACTAATTAATAAAAATATAAATAATTAATAAATAAAGAATACAGAGTGTCACCAGCCCTATTCATCTCGTCGGTGTTGTAAGAGCCGACTAAGGGGAAAAAACTACGCAGTACAACAGCACTGCAGAGAGAAGGAAAACTTGACACAAACCCTATACCAACCCGTCTAGCCAAACGTATACTACGTGGTATAGTAGGCCAAAACCTCCTTCCTAAGGAGAGGCTTATGTCCAGCACTGGACTATTAAAGGCTGTTGATGATAAATAAAATACAAGTGGAAACCCTGTGCCAAAATGTATATTTTCAGATGTGCCGTGTCACACATCATTTAATAGGTATCTCAAAGGATGAGGCTGATCAAATAAAATGGTAGAAATAACCTTTCGCATGATAAAAGAGTTTCTTGAACATTGATATAATAGACTGGGTCGGTCTAGTGTTGGCCTAATATATAGTATGTTAATTAGGGCTCATATGTTGTAGGCAACATATAGGCCCTTATTATCCATTATCATACAATAATCATATAGGTATGATTAATATATGTCTACAGTTGAATAAAATGGTGAAAAAAGGCGTAGTGGTTTAAGCGATCGCCACGCCGCTCACTACTACGCTGAGTGTTGTGGGTCCGATCCACACATGGGACGACACTTTGTGTAATCCACAAATTGTTGTTCTGAGTCTGGGTGTTCTTTGTGTTCGTTTCATGTATGTTTGTTAAGTCCCCCGCGACACAGGATATATTCCTAGTGCGGGAGTTGTCTTTAGAAAAAAATAGGCTTGCGTCCTATTACCTAAGTTAGTCTCTAATTACAATAGCCAAAATGTGGTCGAATTATTTACATCTGTCTGCTCTTTCGGAGACCAAGAAGTGAGTGTATGTATGTATCACGCACACATCACATCAACAGCCTTTAACAGTCCACTGCTATACATAGGTATCTTCTTAGAAAGGAGGTTTTAGCCTACTATACCACGCTGGCCAGACGAGTTGGTATTATATATTGGGTTTGTTTTAAGTTTTCCTTCTCTTTGCAGTACTTCACCACAGGATGAATCCCCTATTCATCCTGTGGTGAAGTACTGCAAAGAGAGGCGACACTCCATATTATTATTCCGTCACCACACGGATAGCATTGGATAATCAATTAATAAATTATTAATATAATTAAAATACGAGTATTTAAAAAAACCCGTATATCCAACGTTTATTGAATGTCATACGCATTTAAATTAATGGTTTCACACTTTAATGATATTTCTGGAAACGAGAGCGAATCGAAATAACAAAATTTCATGGTTCTGATTTTTGGACAGAGCGTGTCTTTTGGCACACTGGCCGACTGATACCAATACATGTTAAGTGCACTGTGTTTAATTTGGCAAAAAATATAATTGTGAAAACAAAACCACTTAAAAATTTGTGTCTCATTAGAAAGACAATTTGCTCATTGTGTCTATTTTACTTTCTATTCCGTTTCACGTATGTTTATCAGCAGTCTGGTTACTATAGCACAGGCTTTGCCCAGTTTGGGATCAGATCGCCGTGTGTGAGACATGTAAAGTTATTATTATACTAGCTGGTACCCGCCACTTCGTTCGCGTGGAATTTGAAAAGCGCTGCCTTAGTGGGTTCGATTCCCGGACCGGACAAAATTCAAAAAGGTTTTTCTGAGAGGGAAAATAGTCTAAGTTACTCCTTATACCAGCTGCCTGGTAATAGAATATTATCAAAATCAGTCTAGCCGTTTAGAAGGTTACGAGGAACAAACAGACAGGCAAAGAAATTTAAACTTTATTTCAGGCATAGGTATCGTGCAAAAAGAAGGAAAACTTGATACAATCCCTTTTTTTTTTTTTTTTTTAACGTGTGGAAATCCCCTCGGACCGTCACCCCTCCGGGGTTTGCGGCGGGGTGGTGTGTCGGACTCGGACCGACTAAAACCACACGGTGTGCCACTCTGCGCCTGTAACAGGAGGGATCCGGGAACAGCTGTTGTTAAGACATCCGGACCCCTCCTAGCGCCAGCCCGCTCCTGGTGCGGGCTCCGTCTCAATGGTGTTCCTCTCTTTAGGCGACGTCCGGCACACGCGGACGCCGCCCCCTCGCGGCTGGCCAAACTAATGCGGGTGGAGGGGAAACCCACCCCGTCCACCCGCGGCCACACTCAGGGCGGCATGAGGCTGTGATAGGCGGGCCTCCGCCGCCCGGTTCGCCGGCGGCGGATTGGGTCCGAGTGGAGGTCGTCCTCCCGGGCCCTCTCCGCCGCCTCCTTCCGCGAGATTACTACCTCGCAGAAGGTTGCGACCGCGGTAAAACAACTGTCGCTACCGGCCATGGAGCGTACTACGGCCGGTAGCGAGAGATCCACTCCGATGACTGCAGTAAGGGCCCGGCGCTGCGCCGCCCATGTGGGGCAGACCGCCAGCGCCCTATACCAACCCATCTGGCCAGCGTGGTATAGTAGGCCAAAACCTCCTTTCTAAGGAGAGGCCTATGTCCAGCAGTGGACTATAAAAGCCTGTTGATGTGTGATGTGTATCGTGCAAATAACCGTGTGAGCATCAAAAAGCTTATTATTTTGACATTACAAACAGAAACTTCAATTTTATTTATTTGTATAGATATCCTACTAACGGAGACGAACCCGAGACCTCCGTGTGGGCATCCACCCACATGTAAACATAATTATATATAACAATCACTTTTCATACCCAGTGACTCATTGGTTAACGGTAAGAACGGTTCATTGGTCACGCGTTCGATGCACGGTCCTTATATGGTGGTCGACCATTTAATTGAGAATACAATGTCATTATTCCCTATTAATATTTTAAATTGTTATTAACTACATGAATTAATGCTGTAACTGCAAGTATGGAGTAGTGGTTGTAGCGGTCACCTCGCCGCTTCCTACTGTGTTGAGAGTTGTGGATTCAAATCACACATGGGACGACACTTTGTATGATCCACAAATTGTTGTTCTGAGTCTGGGTGTTCTTTGTGTCCGTTTCATGTATGTTTCTAAAGTCTGTCGCGACACAGGATATATTCCTAATGCGGGAGTTGTCTTTAAAAAAAGAAAGAACGAAAAATAAAATTTAAAGATCCTGTTGCTCTAGTGGGTATAAGTAGTGGGTTCCATTCCCACCCAGGACAAATAGTTGTGTGACACGATCATTAATTCTGTGTTTAGGTTTAATTTATCAATAACATCCGTGTAGTGACGTATTAAGAATACAGAGTGTCACCATCTCTATTCATCCCGTGGGTGTCGTAAGAGTCGACTAAGGAAGCAAACTACGGGGGGACAACAGCACTGCAAAGAGAAGGAAAACTTGACACAAACCCTATACGAACCCGTCTGGCCAGCGTGGTATACTAGTCCAAAACCTCCTTTCTAAGGAGAGACCTAGCAGTGGACTAATAAAGGCTGTTGATGTGATGTGATGATGATAAAATAACTCGAGAACAATGCATCAGAGATTGAAACATGATGCGTATGATACGACACCACACGGCTTTTTATCTATACTAATATTATAAAGCTGAGAGTTTATTTGTTTGCTTGAACACGCTAATCTCAGAAACTACTGGTCCGATTTGAAAAATTCTTTCAGTATTAGATAGCCTATTTATCGAGGAAGGCTATAGATTATATATTATCACGCTAAGACCAATAGGAGCGGAGCACCAATGAAGAATGTTTCAAAATCGGGTTATTTTTTTTCCTTTTGAGAGCTTACGCTGTGTGCGCTGTGTAAACGGAAATAGCTCCTTAACGTAGGTAGTATTTAAAAATATTTTCACCTTCTACGTAAACGAAGTCGTGGGTTAAAGGTAGCATTAGTCCAAAGTAACTATTCCACGCGGACAAAGTCGCGGGCAGAAGCTATCAGTAATATGTATGTAGTTAGACATATGTTTTTTGGGATTAATCCCACCCTCACACCCACCACTGTAACTCCTTTACACCAGGATCCACAGCAGTGACCCACGAACACACCGAGTTATGACACTCGGGAAGTCCCAGGAAGAAATTAAACTGCCTAGGAACCCGCAACGAAATTAACAGGGAAGCACCACGGCCTCAAAATATTACAGGTCCTAGGTGAGCTATATTTGATTTCTATAATATGTATGGCAGAATCGCCTAAACGCACGGAAATTCACCCTAGTTGACACAAGATCCCCATAGTATACCGCCCCAGATGTCACCTGCAAGCTATTCAGCATTATATTACGTTCATTATACCAAAGACTACATTCCCAGAGGATATGATGAGCAGACTGTTTATAGTGAGCGTTAAGCGTATGTGAGATGTCTGAAGTTATCATTACTTATTGAAATAAAACATTTAAAATGGTCTAAATTTAACCACCAGGCAATTAAAACATAAATAGTTATAAAATACACAGTACCTTTAGCCAAAGCTGCATGTATCAGGCTTAGACAAAACAGGACCTTTACCAGCGCCATCTTGAATTGTTGCAAAACAATCTTTAACACTTTTCACTTGTCTCTGCGTGTACCTGAAATTAATAAAAAAAAAGTTTATTGATTCCCCTTTTACGTCTTTACCAGATGATTTAGGTACTGTCCCGTAGCCATATAATTTGTTTCGTGACTTTGACGACCGAATGGCATAGTGGTTTGTGTAACGGACTGCTATTCCAAAGGTCGCTGGTTTGATCCCGCTCAAGTCAAACATTTGTGTGCGTGAACATTTAATGTTTGATTTGGTCTGGGTGTTTCTATGTATAATATGTATGTATTTACAAAAAACAGTATATATGTATTTATATCAGTTGTCTAGTAGTCATAGTACAAGCTCTGCTTAGTTTGGGACTAGATGGCGTTGTGTGAATGTTGCAGAAGATTATTATTATTTATTATTATGTAAGTCAATTCTAGAGCCACAGATCTATACAAATAAATACAATTGAAGTGTCTGTTTGTAATGTCACAATAATAGAGTTTTTTCATGTTTAATGTTTAAATATTGAATGGGATATATATATAACACAAATAAATGTTATATATGAAAACAACGTAACGTACGTTTTATATATTATGAACTTAATTTAATTTTACTTATTTGTATAGACGATATAGTTATATTTATCAATGTTTTTCAACCCAAACTCAACTCTCGTGTAAACGGGGCCAATATCTGTAGATACTTATTCACAGAGGTGTTGGTAGCAGTAACAGTGTCGCGAGTTCAATGGTTTTTCCAAATCAGAAAAAGAATACATTCTTTTGTTTGTTGTTCAAAAATGCGCAACGCACCTAAATAAGTTTTCACTTCAAAAACATCTTTACCCTACACACACGCCTCCCTCCAAAGGGGTAGGTAGAAGCATATTAAACGCCCACATACAAACCTCGTCACACATCAATCATCACCAGCCTATAATAGTCTACTGCTGGACATAGACCTCTCCTTAGAAAGGAGGTTTTGGCCTACTGTACCACACTGGCCGGGTTGGTATAGTGTTTGTGTTAAGTTTTCTTTTTCTTTGTAGTGCTGTTGTCCTGCGTAGTTTGCTCCCTTAGTCGCCTCTTACGACACCCACGGGATGAATAGGGGTGGTGACACTCTGTATTCTTAATCCCTCACCACACACATACATACATACACACAAATAATATTAACTTAATTAACGCCATTTTGCGCACAAATTAAGCATGATATTAATTGTTTTGCTTATTTCTGTGTGAGAAGATTCCGCATTTATACGCTAATAAAATGTTAATTTACCATTCAGTGGAAATAATTAATAACATCACACAGTTAGTTAACTTAATCGAAACCTTCAAAGAATAATGTTAACCGACTTCAACAAAAGGAGATTCACAACTCGGTTGTAATAATTTAATGTGAATATTTTCGGACATCTAACACACAACGCCATCTAGTTTCAAACTAAGCAGAGCTTTTACTCTATAAAGCTAGATTGACTGATAGAATACTTATATACTTTTTTTTTGTACATACATATTATACATAGAAAACACCAAAACTCCGAAACAAATATTTGCAGAGCATACAAATATTTGGTCCGACCAGGGAATTGAACCCGAGACCCCAGCACAACAGTCGCTTACGCTACTACTGGACCACCGAGGCAGTTATGTGAATTTAAATGTAAGTTTAACCGTGTGGTGACGGATTAAGAATACGCAGTGTCACCACCCCAATTCATCCCGTGGGTGTCGTAAAAGGCGACTAAGGGAACAAACTACGCAGGCCAACAGCACTGCAGAGAGAAGGAAAACTTGACACAATCCCTATACCGACCCGTCTGGCCAGCGTGGTATAGTAGGCTAAAACCTCCTTTCTAAGGAGAGCCCTATGTCCAGCAGTGGACTTTAATAGGCTGTTGATGAATTTAATGTTTGTTAGCTCAAAACTCAGTCATATATTTTCATTATAACTGCCGTATTAAGAATATTTCCTGTATCGCGGGGGACTTTATAGATATTCATGAAACGGACACAAAGAACATCTAGACTTAGAACAACAATTTGTTGATCACATAAAGTGCTGTCCTATGTGGGGATCGAATCCACAACACTCAGCAAAGTAGGAAACGGCGGGGTGACCGCTTAAACCACTACGCCATCCGTGCAGTCAAAATTATGAACTGGTTAGGAAAAATATTTTTTTATTTAGGAGAGAACACTTTCTATTTGGTACCATTCAGATCTGGAGGAAAATACCACCTCTAAGAGTGAAAAATAAGGCAATGAAGAATCAAACTTGTTACAATCGTTGATTGGCCTGTTGGTCTAGTGGTTAGTAACCCTGACTGCTAAGTCAGAGGTCGTGGATTCGATTCCCACCCGGGACAAATATTTTGTGTGAAGCATGAGTATTTGTTCTGTGTTTGGGTGTAATTTATCTATAATATGTATGTATTTAAAAATATATAAGTATGTTTATCAGCAGTCTGGGTACCATAGCACAGGATCTGCCTAGTTTGGGATAAGACGGCCGTGTGCGAGATGTGTAGTTATTATGTATTAAAACATTAATATTTTTTAAATCAAGTTTATGTTTTAATCATTTTGCTACGGAACCCTAATCCATGACCCGGCAATAAATAACGAGTGTAATATTATTACATACATCCAAGAATACAGACAGATGATTATTTTAATTACCAATCATAGCACGGGAATCGAACCGGACACGCTCTGGTGATGACTACCGATGCGTTTGAAATCAGTTTACGGTATACCGCCAAGATACGAGGGGCCCATGACTGGATGTGACGTAGTTAGGTCATCAGAGCAGAACAAACAAAAAACATATAGGAATTTTCATTGACGCCGTACTCTCCAACGCCTAGCAAGGAAAGAAGAGAAGAAAAATGCCGTAACCATGGGAGAGCGATGCTTCGACATAAATTGGTCTGGTCGACTGGAGTGACGCCACGGCCTCACAGGAGACCCATGTTAAGCAATTCTCAAACCTCCCCACGCCCTAAGTTTGAGGTTGGGGTCAAAAAGCGGCAAAACACTTGTAACTTGTGGTAGTCACTTACCATCAAGTGAGCAGACGCTTGTTTGCCCTCTATGCCATAAAAAAAAAGGCACTCCGGGAGTGAGAAAAAAAGTGAAAACTTATTTTTTTTTATATAACAGGTATTTTTTTGATTTCTTCGATTCCAAAAGTACTGAAATGCATATATGTCTATGTTGTACGTATAAACATAATAGATCTTTATATTATATATAGTTTTATTATCAATGTATTTCAACCCAAATTCAATTCTTGTGTATACAGAGGTGTCGGTAACGGTAACAGTGTCGCGAGTTCAATATTTTTTTGTTATCGCAAAAAATGTTTTTGTTTGTTTGTTTTATGCCCAACGTAGATGAAGAAGTTTTCACTTCAAAAAAAAAATATTGCTCTGAGATGTTTTCCCTCAAAAATGATCTTTACGGTTTGTAAGCAGTGTGTACCAATCATCAACAGCCTTTACTAGTCCACTGCTGGACATAGGCCTCTCCTTAGAAAGGAGGTTTTCTTTTAACGTGACATTGCTTCATTTTTCTATATTATAATCATAATAAGTACAACGCAAAATGAAAAATAAATATATTATTTTCATTTCAAGTGTATTTCTAGTCTATTAAATATATTTCATTTCGCTAAGATTGTCAAATTGGTGAAATAAATTGAAACCTTCTTGGTCATTGAGTTCGACATTTTCAGATATATTTATATGTCCTGAACACATAACTTTTTGCTTTTTTTTTTAAAAGACAACTCCCGCATTAGGAATATATCCTTTACAAACATACATGAAAGTGGCACAAAGAACACCCAGACTCAGAACAACAATTTGTTGATCACTCAAAGTGTCTTCCCATGTAGGGATAAACCCACAACACTCAGTGTAGTAGTGAGCGGCACGCGTGGCGACCGCTTAAACCACTGCGCCATCCGTGCAATCAAAATAGCTATCGAGTATAATAAAAAATATAAACAATAGAACTCAATTATGGCTAAGAATTGTTTTAATACGGTGTAATGAACTAAACTACAGAGGAAAATCCCATAAAGAATGGAACTGACAGCTTTTACTATAAATTTTATGGCCCATAGGTATAGGTGTGGTGTTTTATTTGCACTCCATTATTGCTATCACGGCTTAATAATTTAATTATTATTGCATGACTATTACTTCTTAATGCTCACGGCTGGTAAAAAGAAAATAATGATTATAATTAGTTTTTAATGAGATTTTAAAAACATTCACGACCGAATGGCGTAGTGGTTTGTGTAACGGACTGCTATTCCAAAGGTCGCGGGTTCGATTCCCGCTCAAGTCAAACATATGTGTGCGTGAACATTTAATGTTTGATTTGGTCTTGATGTTTCTATGTATAATAAGTATGTATTTACAACAAAAAAAGTATATATGTATTTCTATCAGTTGTCTAGTACCCATAGTACAAGCTCTGCTTAGTTTGGGACTAGATGGCGTTGTGTGAATGTGGTACAATATTATTATTATTATTTTTTATTATTCTGTACAAGATGAGATAAAATTGTAAATTTACACAGAACATTTTTTGTGGTTTAGAGGGGGGATCCCGGATAGTAAGTTACTATCTCCTGATAGTAAGTGGCTACCGCCGCCCATGGACACCAGCAACTCAAGTGTGCACTCGTTGTTTGACATGTCACCCCCCTATCCATTGCGTGGGTGTCGTAAGAGCCGACTAAGGGAGTAAACTACGCAGGACAACAGAAGGAAAACTTGAAACAAATCCTATACTAACCCGTCTGGCCAGCGTGGTATAGTAGGCCAAAACCTTCTTTCTAAGGAGAGGCCTACGTCCAGCAGTGGTCTAGTAAAGGCTGTTAATGATAATGATGTCAGGTATAGAAAGGTTTCCCTGTTTAAAAAGACAACTACCGCATTAGGAATATATCTTGTATCTTGAAGGACTTCACAAAC